TTGAAGATAAAATGACAGACAAAAAGAAAAATAAATAATATAATAATATAATAAAAAGGGTTTAAAAACAACAATACATCTATTGAAGAAAAAAGATAATTGACAATCGTATTTGTTGATAAAATTTAAATATTTTCTTCATTTACAAATAACAAGAATTAGTTTGAAGTTAAAAAATAGAACAAGTTAATTTAAAAATATTAAAATAGAACTAAAAAAATATAATATAAACTAATTTAATATGTTTAGTGATAAAAGTCCTCTTATTAGTGGTGCTACTTCATTTTTTATAAACCAAGAACCAGACCCACAATCAGTTTGGTGGTTTGATAAATTATTTGAAGATGAAGATAAAGGAACCTTTTCATGTTTGAAGTTAACGTGGAGTCAAAGAATATTATTTTGTTTAGGATTTTGTGGATTTGGAATATTATGTATTTTTATGGTTTGTTAATATCAGATAATTCGTATTACCATTTGTGAAGTGGTTATTTACAAATTAGTCACTTTCATTCTTTTTCTTACCTACTCGTTTTGCAATGACATTCACTTTTGGAAATATATTAATTTTTATTGGAACATCATTTTTAAGAAGTATTAAGTCTCAATGTCAGTCTTTATTAAATGACCCTTCAAAGTTAATTTCTTTTATTATTTATTTTGCTTCAATTGGTATCACTTTATTTAGTGGTCTTTATGTTTGTTTTTCTTTTGAATGTTATGTCTTTTTAAATAAGTACCAAAACTGATATCAATTAGATCAATTCTACACTATTGACAATTGTCAGTATAGTCATAGAAATATGTTCTTGTATATGGTATATTGCTTCTTATATCCCTTATGCTCAAACTTGTTTATCAACAACATGTAAAGGGTGTTTTAGACGTAATTGAATTTTTTAAAATGGTTTAGGTAGAAGTTTTAAAAAAGAAATAATCTTTAAAATAACATTTTATGTCACTTGTTAAAGAGTACATCAATAAAAAAGTAGAAGTAGTAACTACTTTAGGTAAAGTGTATATTGGTATTTTAACTGGATATGATAATTTTATGAATATTGTATTAAAAAATTCAATAGAACGTACATTTTCTAAAGAAGGAGTTTCAAACATATCATGTGGATTATTGATTCTTCGTGGTGATGAAATGTTTGTTATTAAATTAAAATAATTAAAAAGAAAGAAATCTTATTTTTTATAGTATGGTTATTGGAGGTTTAAATGAAGAAAAAGACACTCAACTTGATTGGCAATGTGTAGTTTCCAATCCACTTTCTCAAGCATTAATATAGATTAATTTGATTGTTATTTAAATAACATAGTTTCAAAAAAAAAAAAATAAAACATAATAATAATTTAAAAGAAAAATCAAAACATTTAAAAAACTGTTAAAAAGACTAAAAACAAATTGAAATTATTAAGATGCATCACAATAATATTGTTCCTTTAAAACCTTTACCTACTCCACAAAAAAAATCCTTTCAACAACAAGAAGAAAACGAGCTGATTGCTTCTGCTCCATTAACACCTTCATCTAGAGTTGTTCCTGTTAAAGCTTTACCACCAAAACCCTCTCAAAAAGAAGGAGATGAAAGAAGTTGTGAAGAGTCACCTGTTTTATTAAAAGAAATGAATTATCCACCTCCTCATTCAATTTCACCTCAAAGCAAAAGTAAACACTCTGTAGATTTGGAAAAACATAAAATGCGACATAGAGCTTCTGTTGGTTCTAGAAATGATATGTTTAATTCATTTGATGAAAGAAAAAAAGAAACATCAACTTCTCCTAATTTCTTTAAAAAAACAACTACAACTCCTGCAAGTCAAAAAATTAATACAACAGTATTTGATATAAATCCAACTAGTCTTGAAGCTTCATTATCCGAATCACATATAGATTCAAAAGATATGTCTCCTAGAGTATCTATGTTAAGTGATCAAAAAGAAAAAACAGAACAAGGATATGTATTACAAACACAAGAAAGTAAAACTCATGAAAAAGTAAATCAAAAATCATTAAAAGAATTAAAACATGAAATAAAACCAATTCTTCCAACTGACTTTTTAAAGAAATATCAAAGTTATTTTACAACAGAAAATCAAGAAGATAAAATTCGATTTATCCCAAAAAATTTAAAAGGAGAAAAAGTTATTGGAGATGAATTAATGATGCATACAGCTGAATTAGTATTTACTGAATTTATGTTTTGTGTTAAATTACAAATATTTCAAGAAATTGAAAAAATAATAAGAAATGAAATACCATTATTAGACTATCAAGAATATTTATTATTTGAACCATTAGATAATCTTGTAAATGAAATTAGTCAAATGTGTTTAGAGTTAGAACCTATTTATTATAACCTTTTAAAAAATACATCAAATAAAGAAAGTGAACTCAATAATGTATTTCTTATAATTGCAATATATAATTCTTATATTTTTGATAAACCATTTAAAGATAAATTTAAAGAATTTGTTGCACATTATACATCATTAGGAAAAACAATTATTGAATTTATTAAATCAAATAAACATCTTCATAGAATTATTCAAGAACAATTAAATAATTGCATTGATCAAAATATTAAAGAAATTACTGATTTATTCTTTTCAGCAACACAACGTATTTGTAGATATGAATTATTATTTGAAAGTATATTAAAAGAAATTCATCAAGAAGGAAAAGAAAAAGATATTTTAATAAGTACTATTAATTTATTTAAAAATATGAACATATCAATTAATCAATTTATTTCCAAAACAAGACTCTTTTATTTAAAGAAATATGAATATTTTGAAATAAGTTATAAATCAAATATTTCTCTTCAAATGATTAATACAATTAAAAATAGTTTCACATGTGCTGATCATTTTATTGGAATTTTTTATGGAATTAAAAATACTGGAATTAAATCAAAAAAAACAGAGTTACTTTTATTTAATGAAGGAATATTAAAAAGATATTGTGAAGAAGAATTTTTTGAATTTTATCCAATAAATACATTAACTGCAAAAAAAACTGGAGAATGGGAAAAAGAATTACTTCCAAATGATGTCTTCTTTTTTGATATTAAAAAAAATAAAATGCAAATTATTTCACTTGAAAATGAAGAAGAGAAAAAGTTATTTAATTCTAAAGTAAATCAAATGTTTGATCGTTTTAAAAAGTCTTTAAATAAACATTGATTATACGATGTAAATTTAATTCATTTATTTTTTATTTTTAAATTTATATTTAAGTTCTATTGGAGCAATTGGTTCTAATGCTTCAAAATGATTTAATTGAGTTAATTGTTCACAAAAATTAATATGAAAAGAAGTTAATGTAATTGGAAGATCAATACTTTTAAGTTTTTTATTATAAAAAATATCTAATTGTTCTAATCCACTTTTTAAATTTAAAGAAGAAAGATTTGAACACCAATATAATGATAATGATTTTAATGTTGTCCCTATTGTCAATGTTGATATTTTATTACATTCAACACATAATAATGATTCTAATGGTACTTCATGAAGATTAGGAAAAGAACATACAGAATCACAATGACTTACTTCAACAACTTTAGCTAAAGGTGGAATATAAAATTCTTTAATTGAATTACATGATGATACACAAAATTCTTTTAAAGGAATTTCTAATAAATTTGGAAGAGAAAAATTAAAAGATGTTGTAATTTCAAGTCGAGTTAAAGAAGTTGGAAATAAAAAAGAAACTGGTTTAGAGAACATAGAATTAACTAATCTAAATTCTTGAAGACAAATAACATTTTTTAAATCAACAATAGAATGAATTGGAGTTACTTCAATTTTATAACCAAAAATATCTAAATGAGGTAGAAAATGAGATAAAGAAATTTTATGAAGTTGATTTGAAAATAGAAGGTTGTCTGGTAATGATAGAGTATAATGATCAAGAAATAATAATTTAAAATCATAATAAGATAATGATGAAGTAAGTTCATTCTCAAAAATACCAAATGTTATATTTTTTTTATTTAATAATTCTAATACATTTGTTAAATGTGTTTCTTTTAAATTATGAATTAACAAAACACAACTAATTCTTGTTGAATGAAATTTTTGTAATATTTCTTGTAGTCTTAACAAATCATCACCATTACATTCAATAAATAACTTTTTAAAATAAGGAAGATGTTGTATTGTTTGAATAATATTATTCATAAATTTATTAAAATAAATCATTTCACTATTATTATTAATATCAACATGAAGTCTTTGAAGAAAATTCATTGACTCTAAATCAAATGTTAAATTTTCATCAATATAAAATCCAAATTCACAAATACGTTGTTGAATTTTATGAATAATATTTAATGGTGCATAAATTAATTTTCCAACTAACTCAATTGTTGATAAGTTTTTTAATAAATTAAGGTCTACTTTTTTTATAGTCTCAATGTCACATCGTAATGTTTCAATGTTTGGAAAAAGAGAAATTTCTTTATTAATAATTTCTTCTTTTTGTGTTAATGAATCAAATGGTCCACTATAAAATGGATTCTTTCTTACATAAGAAAATGAAGTAAAACAATTTTTTGATACCATCTTAAGATTAATAGCATCTTGAATTGTTTTTAAATATCTCACAATAATTTCAAATGGTAATGTTGTTTTTTTATTAGAATAATTATAATCACTTCTTTCAAAGTGTTTTTTTGATGTAGATAATATAGAATAATTATTTGTTGAATTTTGAGGAAATAGGGGTTTCTTTCTAAATAAGTTCATTTGTTCTTTTCATATTTTTCTTAGTTCCTTAATAACACAAATTTAAAAACATAAAATTAATTTAGAAATAAAACTATTAAATAATAAAAAAATAATAATAATATTATTAAATAACTATATGTATTTTCAATGAATCTGATTCTGAACTTAAAAAGACTGTTTGGGTATTAAATATGTTTGCTACTTCTAAGAATAATCGTAAAGGATTAAGAGCAACACCCCATATGGTTAATGCATTAGATCATCAAATTCCTTTTATTAAATTATGTCAAACAGAATATAGATATCATGAAAAAACCAAACAGTTTATTTATACATTACAAAATTATTTTAGTTCTTTAGAAGTTAAGTATTATGAAACATTAAGATTAGAGAATGGAGATAATGAATGTGTTGAACTCAATGACGAATATAAAATTCCACAAGAAGGAATTATAGATGTCATTGGTTGGATTGATAATAATAGAAAGAATAGTCAAGTTTTCTTTATTAAAAGTGAATGTAAGTCTCTTATAATTCAATATCAGTCGTTTTCAACAAATATTATTTATAACCATGTTACAAGAGTCTCTGATTTAGTTCAATTTTATTTTCAATTACTTGTTCATATAGGTGTTATTAAAGATATTATTACATCACGTAATTGGATGCAATATGGACTTAAACTTATTGATCAAAAGAAAAGAGTAAAAATTCTTCGTGGAAGTAGTTTAATTTGGGGAATGTTAAATGAGAAAACAATTCTTAAATTTGAAAGAATTATGAAATTCACAGACTATAATATAGAAAGTCATTCAAGCTCAGAAATTGTTGATGAAATAGAAGTAGATTATATTCTAAAGAGTTCAAATGAAAATTATGGAGTGTTATGTTGTGTAATGATTCAAAATACACAAACATTTGAAACAATGATTGATAGAAACTGGACTTGTATTGAATTAAAATCATTCATTTTTAAATTAGGAGAAATTAATGATCAAAGTTTAAAATTATACAAAAGAAAAGGATTATATCAATTAACTGAAATGAAAGAATGTGACAAAGTGAGTGAATATATTGAAACAGATAATATTCTTTGTATAGATATTACTCAACCATCAAAAGATGTTTTTCTTATGTCTGGAAGAATTTCATTTAATGAAATATCATTTAAATCATTGATTCAAGTAAATGTTTATTTGTTAAATGAAACACCTAAATATGTTAGTTGTCCAGTAGTTAATACATTTAATATTTCACTTACTTCAACGTTAACAATTAAAGACATAATAACAGAATTATGTCCAGATCAAGATTGTTGTGTATTTATTCATATTAATGGGAATATTAGTTATCTAACAATTTATGACACTGTCTTAGTTGAAAGTGAAATTACTAAAATAGGTATTATTAAAACTAAGAATTTCCCTTTTCTCCTCTCTAGACTTAAACATCCTAAAACATATAAAGTAATTACATCACTTCTTCCTAATGAACAAATATTATATATTGAACATAATCTCTTTATCACGAATTATCAAACATTAATTTGGAATAATAACTCATTTATTAAAATTCCTCATTGTTCTGTTTGTAATTGTGTTATATGTACAATTAATGAAAATTTAGATGTTTTTTCTTTCTTATTAAAAGACTTTAGATTAATAATTTATGAAGTAAGTCCTATATTAACTCCAAGATTACTTCATATTTATTCAGAAAATAAATTATTATTCCCAAGAGATAAAAAAGAAATATTTGTTTTTAGAACTCCTGAGGTTATTGTTAGTAAACATTTTTCATCATCCTATGATATATTAAATGATTTTAAAAGAATGGGAGTAATTGGTAATCCAAATTTTATGGTTGTAGTTAATCTTTCTAAAACACAAAATAGAAATAACTTATATTTAAGTTTTAAATGTGAGACATATCCTTCTAAAATTATTCTTCCTAATGGAAAATATGACTTAAATTCACTTGTTAATTATAGAGCCAAAGGAAGATTTCCAGTGATATCATGGGTAGGTCCAATGAATCAATGTCTTTCTAGAAGTGCTCAACCTCTTCCAGGAACTTTTGGACAAATCAAGTGTGAATCTGATGTATCTATTCTTCAATCTATGATGGAATTATGTGGAAAGAAAACATTCTTTGTATATGATGCAAGACCAAAATTAAATACAAAAGCAACAAGATTCCAAGGAGGTGGAATGGAAAGTCAGTCAACATATCCTTTTTGTACTTTTGAAAATTTAGCATTAGATAGTATTAAAGATATTAAACAAGCATTTTATAAAATGATTAAAACAATTGTCTTTGAGCGAAGAGATGTTTATGATTTTAAAACTTCAATTGAAAATTCTAAATGGCTTCAATCTATTGATCAATTAATAACATATGCTTCAGTTATTGCAGGTAAATTAAATTCAGGATATTCTTTATTGATTCATTGTAGAAATGGATGGGATAGTACATGTCAATTAACATCATTAGTTATGATGATGGTTGATTCATATTATAGTTTGTATTTTTGTTGTATTAATGTAATATTAAAATAACTATAACTGATTTATTAGGAACAATAGAAGGTTTTCTTGTGTTAATACAAAGAGAATGGGTAGAAATGGGACATAGATTTCCTTTAAGAACAGGATGTGGAGTGAAATGGGATATAGATGTATTACCATTTTTAACAACATACTATGGAACATTTAAAAAAGTAAATCAAAATGGATATCGTAGTAATTTAGAAACAATAAGTGATAAAGCAACATCTCCAATATTCTTTCAATTTTTAGAGGCTGTTCATCATTTAAGGAAAAACGCTTCAACAATGTTCCAATTTAATGAAGAATTTTTAATATTCATTGCTGACAGTTTATATGATGGTCGTTTTACTACATTTTTTGAAAACACAATTAAAACAGAAGATATAAATCCAAGAAATAATTTATATGAATATGTTTTAGAACATATGACTGATTTTATTAATTCAAATTATAAAGAAAGTTCAATGACATTCTTTCCAATATTTGATATGAGTGAATTTAGTGTGTGGAATGAATATTATTTTAGGAATGCCTCAAATATTCTTAGAGTACCTCAAACATCCAAATAAAAAAAATATGTAACTTCAATGTTATTTCGAATGGTTTTTTATTTGATGTTAATAGAAAAAGTAAAATGAAATTTTATTATATTAAAAATAATAAATAAATTATTTAGAAATAATAAATAATACTTTTCTTAAGAAGAACTTTTCAAAATAAAAGGAATAAAAAAAAACTTATAAAAAATAATGTTAAGTGATTCATCTTTATTCCAATCTAAAATACTCCTTCATTACTCTGATAATAGTAATGAAATTATTGACAGAGTTGAAATTGAAAAGATGAAAAAAAGATGTATTGGAACAAAATTTGAACAAATAAATTGGAACAATGATATTATTGAAATACCTTCTCCAAAAATTCCAGGTAAATATTTTATTAAATATATTAGAAATATTCCAATGTATTTTCAATGGTTTACTCAACAAAAACAAATAGATTTATTTTTTGAAATATTAAAGTTTGGAATAGATTTAAAGGAAGCTATTGCTTATACTAAAATTGAAAATAATATATTAAAAATGATTACTACAATTGATTTAGGTGCTTTAATTGATGCTGACAGAACTAAATCTTGTGAAAATTTATTAATTTCTGCTGTTGGTTTACAAGACCAAAATAAAGTTATTCGATTTTATTATAATGAAACTACTTTTTTAAATTCATTTGTTGCTGGTAATGTTGATGAACATTCACTAGATAGAAGAAAAGCACTGAATATTATTCCAACACATCTTGGAAAACAATTTGTTAATCGTAATATGCCTCAAATGGTTGCTGCTATTATAAGAAAAGGTAAAACGTCATTAGGACATAAAATGTTTGAATTATTTCAAGAATATACAAATATTTCTATTGAATTATTTATTAAGAATGTTCAAATGTTAGGAGAACGTTGGAAAAATGAAGGAAATACTGAATTAGCATCATTAGCTCTAACATATTGTGAATCATCTCAATCACTTCCAACAATGTCAATATCTTCTGACTTTAATTCTTTAACAAATATTGATACTGAGTTATTAAAACGATGGACTGGAATGAGGAATTTTAGAATTATATTTGAGAAAACTATTGGAGATATTGATTTGGTTCAATTTAATCAAGCAATTTGTGGAAGAAAAAATATGATGATTATTGTTTTTGCAGAAGATGGTAGTGTTTTTGGTTCATATTCATCAATTGACATTCCTCAACCACTTAATTGGATTAAGAAAGATGCAGGACATTTTATATTTACATTAATTAATCATCAAAGTGTTCAACCAACTCGATTTTATCCATTAAAATTAGGAAATTCTGTTTATATTTTCCAAAATGATTATATGATTTCTGTTGTTGCAATTCAAGGTGCTTTTAAAATTAACTTACGTTCAGAATCAACCTTTTCTTCTCGGTTTAGTAATTATTATAATGATTCTGTTGGACAAGGCTCTTCTATTTTTGTTAAAAATCCAGAAAAGTTCATTGTGAAATCATTAATGGTACTTGAATTTTATTAAATAATTGAAATTCATTTTTATTACTCAATTAAAAGTATTATTATTGTTATTTATTGAGTTGTTCCTTCTGGTAAACGTAAAATAATGTGAACACCTGAATCAGTTTCAATAATATCACTAATTTCCCCTACTTTTAATTTCAAATAAGCGTCAGCAAATGGTTTTTGATATTGTTCTATTGTTCCTAATAATAATCCACCTTGAGCACTACTTGAGCAGTCTGATTCAATTATTGCTGTTTGACGAAAATCTTTTTTCCCTTTAACAATTTGTTCTCTTAATACTTTTTATTAATATTTTAAAGTTAATTAAAAAGAATTTAAACAAACCTTTTAATTTTTGAATTGCTTGTTCTTTTGTTCTAGTAATTGTTGTTTCTCTCCATGAATGTGGATTTCTAGAACCAGTATGTTTTACTAAAATATGTGAACAAAATACTTGTGTCATGAATTATTAATTATTAAGTTCTTTTATTGTTTTAATGAAATTAAAAAGAAACCAATTCAATTATTCTTCTAAAAGTTCATCTAATTCTTTAAATAATTTCAGTCCAATCATTTGAGCTTGCTATAAAAAGTAAATAACAGTCTTATTATTATTATTTTATCAAAAACAAATAAATTGTAATAACAAACAATAATCATATCATACATTTCTTCAGTTTTAAAACATCCATTTCCTCCTTTTTGTATACCACATACTTTCCCATTAGAAGTTATTGCTGTAGTTATTTCTGAACCATTACATTTCTCTTCAACTTTGGATGGATCAGCAATAAACTCTTTTTCAAATTGAATTAAACTTACACATAATGGAACTGACTCTGGTTTAAATTTTTTAAATTGAACATTATCTTTGTCTATATCAACTTGTACAGTATCAGAATCTCCTGATATTACATTGACTATTGGAATTAGTGTATTTAATAATGCAGCTCTTACAGCAAGTCCAGTGCAATCCATAACATTTCCATCGTCTTCTACTACAACTACATCAACATAAATAATCCAACACAATTTCCCCTTTAATACACACAATTCTTGTAACATATCTTTTCCAGCATTTTCAAGTGAAACAAGAATCATTTTCTCTATTTCAACATCACGACTTGTCATTGTTCCAACTTGTTTAACTAACACATTGTATCTTCCACTTTCTGGAGTTAATACTGATGGTTCACCTAACTCACATTTTACTCCAACAACAACTTCAGTTTTACCAAGACATAATCTGACAGATCCATTTGCTTGGTCAATTACTCCTTTCTCACATTTAATCTCTCTGAATTGAATATTAGCTCTTCCATCTGTTCTAATATTTGTTTTAATACCTTCTTTGATGAAGTTGATCTCCGGTTGTGAAAGGGCGTTCATCTCACTTTTTCTTTAAATTTCTCTTTTTTTGTTTTTTGAGTTTTTTCTTTTTTTATAATTTTTTATTTCATTTAGTTTTTTATGATTATCTTAAAAATATCTCTTTTTGTTATTTATTTTACTTTTTTTTTTAAATAACATTTTTATGTTTTAAATGTTATATTAAAAATTTTATAAGAAAAAAAAAGTAAAAGAGTGAAATATATAGATAGACAAGTCTTTAAATCCAATTTATTAAAACAATGACATTTTATATAACCAACAATTTATAAATATCATACCAGAAATTAACAATAATATTAAAGTAATTCAAGATATATTCAATAATAAAGAATAAAAAATTTAATATTTAATTAAGTTTTTAACTGCTTGTTATCTAATTCAAAATTTGAAACAACAGCTTTGTCTTTATTGAATTGGAGATTTAAAAAAATGTCATTTGTTATTTATCTTTGCACTTTTATTACATGTACTTATTGCTTTGTATTTCAGAGATGAGCCTATCATTCAATTTTCTATCTATTCTATGAAAATTTACTAATTTGTATTAATATTACTTTTTTTCTTATTCCCAGAATATTTTTATAAACAGACAATAACTACAAGAAGATGCTGTTATAGTCAGCACTAATAATACATATTTTATCATACAAAAGATGAATATGCTATTAAAATGATAAAATTTTATCATTTTTGAAAAACAAGAATTTAATAATATCGTGCTTATGAAAATAGAATGAGATGAAGTAATAAAAATGAGAATAATATAAAACATGACATAACGATGTCATTAATTTAGCATAAAAAAGTCCGATAAACCAAGAATAAAGTAATAATAACAAATAATAATATAGTTAGCTCAAAATAATAAAAATGAAATGAAATTTAAGATAATAGAATGTATGTTGAATGGTTGATTGAATAATTTGTTAAGTTATTAACATGTGTTTGATTATTTATTCATACGACGTTGTTTTATTCATTATTTTAAATGTTTATTGAAGAGTTAATAAATATGAACAATCAATTATTAATTGAAGTAGTAGAAACACTTCCAAACATTCAATAATCAATTGATGATACTACTAAGAATTATCAATATTATATAGTAAGTATTAAAAATGAAATATTTGAAATAAAGCCAGATGAAACATACTCAGAAGCAATTAAAAGAGGAGAAGGAATATTTGATAGGATGAATGAAGTAGAATTAATGAAGAAACAAAAGGAAAGAATCATAAAAGAATATAATAGTGAAGAACCACGAAATGGAATGAACTAATAGATAAAATCATTTCAATTGAAGAGACAAGTATGGAAGATAAAATTAAGAAATTAGAATAGGAAATAAACTATTAAAACAAGAATTAACAAGAATAAAGAAGAATTTGAATTTCCATACAATGATTATTTCTTGGTGAATAAAAGAAGAAAGAAATTTTAAAGAATAAAACAAAAGAAATAAACCAATAGAAAAATTGACAAATAGAAAAGTAGGACATATACTATTTGATTCAGATAATAATTATTAGAATGTTAATACAGTTGTATTTGAAGAAAGAATAAATAAAACTAATAATTGTTATTGAAGATAAAGAGGAAATAAATTTGGAGGATATGTTAATTCTAAAATTGACAGAGTTTCTTATGGTTGATAAAAGACTAAAATCATTTTTATTTTCATTAGAATCAAAAAGAAGAATGAAAGGAATGAAGAAAATTGATATTAAAAACAACAACATGCATTTTATTTATTTAATCAAACAGATAATGGTTTGTTTTGATTTGGAAGTGATGGAAAACTTTTAAATGATATTTGTGTTTATAAAGAAAACAGAAAAACATATTAATATTGTAAACAAAATTCGTTTTCATATGAAATAATATCAAATGCACAATGCGGAAAATAATATCCAAATAAATACTTCACACTAAAATGAATCATAGTAGTTGAAATGAAAATATTTAAATTGGATTATTACAAATAAAAAGTCTTGGTTCATATCATAAAGTCATCTTATTTATAAACAAACCATATCTTAAATAATTAATAACTTTTCATTTAAAGGGAGTTGATTAAATAGATAATATACCTATTTCTTTTTAATGTGTTGAAAGCAATAATGTACTAACACAGTATTTTAATATATTAAACACATATACTTCTTCAAATTCGAAAATTAACAAACAAACGTATGAAATATTCTTATTGTCTTAATACAAAATTAATTAATTCGTATTTCATTAACAAAATAGAATTTATATCACAGTTATTAGGCAATTCGTGAGTATAACAGTTACTGGTCATTGAAAGAAATATAGCAACATACTTCTATTATTTACTTAACAATTACAACAAGAATGAAAGCAAATAAATTACTTAAAAGAAGTGATAAATTTTAAAAGTGATTTTATTTTTCAAGGTTATAAAAGATGTTTTTAATTCTTTAAGACTTTATGTATAAAATAAATAGGATAAATAAAACACAGTTAATAAGAAATAATACATATAAAAAAAAGAATTTATTGTAAAATATATCAAAACACACTTATGTAAAATTAATTAACAAAAAAGTATATTTCTAACAGAAAGAAGATTTTCAATTAATAATGAGTGAATTTATTTTCCAATTTTCTTTAATTTTTTCATTTCACTTAAAAGTTTTTGAGTGTCTTTTACACTTTCAGTTTTCTTCCAAATTTTCTTAAACAATTCATCGGATTGAAGAGGATTAAGTTGTTGGTAAAGAGTGTATGCAGTTTCTTTATTATCACATTGAAGAATTTTTAGAGTATTTTCTATTCTACTGAATGATTTTTTAACATGAAGAGCATAATCAGTTTCACTATAAACTTCTTGTCCTTTTCCAACTTCACTAAAACTCGGAGCCTCAAGAACTGGTAGTTTTTGTAAAGAGCTTTTAATTTGAGAAAATCCCATTTGCATTTTTTGTGCTCCTTCAATTGAAATTTTTTTACATTTAAATATTGTATCAAACAATTCATCAATAATTAATGAAACTGTTGCATGGCAGATTCTAAGATAATAGTTTTGAAATATTTTTGATTTAACAATACTAAATTGCTGATTAATTAAACTAACCATTTGAAAAACATAATCATCTTCATCATCAATTGATTCACATGAAATATCCCAATTCATTTTTGTAATTTCTGTAATTGCTCCTTTTGCTTTTTCAATTAAACATAATACAAGATATTGAATGATAGGTTTAACACATTGATTAATAATACTAAATTGAAATGTTTGTAATTGATATGCACCACTAACCGTTGCCATTTCAGTATATCCTGTTAATAATTGTTCTAATCTTCCTCCAAGATAATCACATGTATTAATTGAAATACAACTTCTTTTAATAGTTTCATTTTCTTTACATTTGGATAATATACCTCTAGAGTATTGTTCTGCATGTTCTGCAATTTGGTTGCAAATATCAATTAATGGCTTTCCTTGAGTAATTTGAATACAACGTTCTCCACATTTTTTGCAATAGAAAATATAATCTTTACAAGATGGTAACACTCCATCTTCAGGATCTTCTTGGAAATTCTCTTCATTTAATACTTTATTCACAAACGACGTTAAGTTAGTATTTTCTAAATCAACATACCCTGACATATATGGTTCAAAACATCTGGATAATACACCAACGGTAAATGCAGTTTGTTCTGACTCTTTTGTTTCATTTCTATGTTCAAATGGATTAGATACATCAACATAAGCATCTGTTGGCTCCATAGTTTCAAAATGATTTGTTTCAATCTTAGGAGATATATGCCTTGAACTTCCTTCACCATCAGTATTAGAACTCATCTTAACTTGTGGAGCTTTTGTTTCATGTTCTGAACTATCAGTTCCATCATCAAATGGATTTAAATTGGGTTGTGTTATTTCTTTATTTTCTTTTGTGTTATCAGTATCACTATCATCGTCAAACGGATTAGAATCATTCCCTTTCTTATTCTCATGTTTATGGGTAACTATTGTATTATGTTTAGTTGCTCCATCAACTTTTGCAGGAGAAATATTAGAATTAGTTGAACTAAATGGATTATTAGTTTCTTCACCACCATCTGACCCAGTCGAGTCTGAGTCTGAAAATGGATTTTTTGATTGAGAAGATTTAATAGAGTCAGTTGTAATACCTTTAGGTTCATCATCACTGCTATCATCAAATGGATTGGTTTCTGTATGTGGAGTAGACATAGCACTTGACATATTTTTTACAGGACGTTTTGGAGCACTAGTTTTAGGAGTACTTTGAGCACTAACACTTGGTTTAGGTAAAGCTTTTTGATATGGTTGAGGAGGTGTTTTCTTTGGAACAAGTTTTAAAGTAGAATTAGAAGTCTTTGAAAGTTCCATTGGTGGTTTGATTGGTCTTTGGTATTCTTTATGATACAATCGTTTATACAACTGTTGTTCAAAAATAATTGTTATATGTAATGCTTTTACTATACGAGTTGTAAAAGTTGTTTCATCTATTCCATTTTGAGAATGAGCATCATCTATAAGTTTATCTAATAACATAGAGAAAGCAACTTTAGTTGATGAAACAAATTCTAAAACTAAAGCTTCACCAACTTTCCAACGAGAAGGAAAAATAGTACTATACATGTCTTCATAACTTAAATACTTTTTATTAAACCAAATATATCTTTTATCAATATTATCTAATCCAGACATTTCACCAGTTAAAGGAAATTCATTAGAATAACCAACTAGTAAATGGTTATACATCCATGTAACAAATTCATCAATATGTTTTTGACTTAAACTATCAACAATAGTAATAAACTGTTTTAAATCATCTTTTGACAAAGTTTTCTTTTCAAATTGATCAATAACTTTTTTAGCTTCATCAAGAACTCGTTCAGAAAATACATCATATCGTTGTAAAGCAGTAGAAATTGTTGGTTCACTTGAACTAAATTTTTCAAATAAATTTAATAATAAATGAGTTGTTTGTAGAATTTTGATAATGTCATCATACTTTTTTTTATCTAACAAATGATCTAATTTGTCTAGACAATTAAATAATTGATCTAAATGAGTAATTATTTGAATAATAGCTTCTAAATTACCTTTAGCATATCCCATTCTTCTCATACCATCACATACTTTTAATACTTCTTGTTCACTCATAACTGATCTATTTGTTGTTTCATGTGTTTGAAGTAATAAAGCTTTTAATTGTTCTGCTGATTCTGCAATTGTATCATTTACTGAAACTGATTTTTCAAAAAAGTTAAAAACTTGTTGAGACAATTCTTTTTCTGTGGCTTCATAAGTTTCAGTTATTTCTTTAAACTTTTTATTAAAATTTTTAGTATTCGGTTCTGGTAATAATTGATTAATGAAAGCAACATCATCAAAATTAGGACTATCAAGTGAGGCTGTAGGATACAACTTTTGTGGTGGTGTTGGTGGTACTTTTTTCATTTTTCACTTCCCTGAAAATTTTCTTTTCTTTTTTTTTAGTTGTAATTTTTGTTTTTTTAATTTTTGTTATTAATAAAAATTATTGGTATTGAAAAAAACAATTTTCATTCTTTTTATTCACAAAATTAATGACAAAATAAAATGATTTTGATAAACTATCTCCAAAATTATTAAACTTAAAGAAATTAATCAAAATTCAGGTCTGTTTCGTTAATTACATTTTCTTCTTCTTTTCTATTTGAAAAAAAAAAGAAATAAAGGACTAAATTGTTAAAAATGAATCTATCTCTTTGTTATACTTCACAATTCTAAATGAACTAATTTTGTTAAATTTGAAAAAAATTTTATAACTCAAAAGAAAAATACCAGAAAATTCAGAACTTTAAAAATTATTTAAATAATCAATTTATTTTTCTTCAAAATGATAAACTTTTTGAATAGTTAAGTTGCTGGCATCATGTTGACAATAAAAAGAAAGAAAAGAAAAATCAAACGTTCGTTGTAAATTGTTTGTTACATCATTGCCACGTTTTAAAGAAAAAAAGAGATGAGTAAATCGTTGAAATGATTGGAACATTTCATTCTATTTTTAGAAAATAACGAAAATTTAACTTGAGATTCAACATTCATCTAAATATTCATTTATATATAATGACTACAAAGAAAACAGTTCCTCTTAGTCAAATTGTTGATTATGCAACAAACGAAGTTAATCCTTCTCCTAATATTAAATCATTTTCTACATTAGCAAAAATTGTTCGAACATTACCAGATGCTAAAATAGCAATAAGAATCCAATTAACTAATAAAATTAAGTCTTATTGTAATGGATTCTTACCTAAAAAAGAAATGTATTATTGTCTATGTTTAGCTGATTTTTTGGTTAAACAATGTCCTGAATTTCGACCTCAAATGATGAACTCAGACTTTATGGTATTATTTGAAAGAGCCTCTGAAATTTCAGTTTGTCTTATAATTGTTATAATTTATTCAAACAAAAATAATTGATCTAAAATAGAAAGTAAGAAAAACTTCCAAGAAACCTTCTCTTGTTACAGAAAAATCTATGAAAATTGTTCAGAGTTGGGGTCAAATGTTCCCAGATGATTTGTATGAATATTCTCAAATGTATGATAAATATATCAGTAAAGGAGTGATATTTCCTCTTCTTGACTTTGATGATCCAGAAGATGTAGCTGCTATAGAAACATTAACTACTAACAAAGTTGTTGAAGAAACTATTGAAGAAAAAATGAAACGTTCTGCATCAGAAATTAATGAATGTAGTGAACTTATTCATGAAACATTAAAAAAAGTTACTAACGTATCACTTCAAGCTCATTCTATTAATGCATTATATAAAAGAGCTGTAGAGATTAATAGTAAGTTTAATATTCTTTTTGTAGAATTTATGCAAAAATCAACTGATACAAGTTTATTACAGAAATATTCAGAAATAGAAAATGTATTTACTTCAAATATTGCTAAACTCATTTCATTTATTAATAAGTTTGTTTTTATTTAATTATTTCTATTCTTAAAGGTTTAAACTCTCACTATTTTAGTCCTCAAGAATCTTTGATTTATCGTACGTTCACTACTGGGCATCTTGAAGAAGAAGATGATGATGATAATACAACCCTTAAAAATTCTGTTAATGCTCAAAGAAAAAAAAGAATCATCTTATCTCCAGTTAATTCAAATACTATTTCTGACACTGACAGAACTCCAAAAGAATCTTCTCAGTCTACAAGAAGAGGATCAAACCAATTGTTACCACCTCCATCTTCTACAGGAATTCCTATAAGACAAACACCTCAATCAGTTATTCAAATTCACCAAAATAAAACTGATACAGAACCTACCGAACATGTAATAGTTCATAGAATTGGTAAATTAAAGAAACGATCCTTTACTCAAACAGAATTCAATCATGATTATAATGAGTTAAAAGATTAAATTCTCAACATTAAGTATTATCATATTTAATATTAATTTAATGATGTTTTCATTTATTTGTAAGTTTTTTTCACAAAAAGAAAAAAATTAAGAAGTGATTCATTTAGAAAACATCATCGACAATAGCACAAAGAACTTCATCTTGAGTAGCATTTGTTTGTGTGTCTTGTTGTGAATCGTCTACATTAACTAAAGATGTTGAATTAATAACTTCAGTACTTTCTTTAACTTCTTCAGAAGGAACTAAAGGTTGAGTCTCTTCATTTTCATTTTTACTGTTATCTTCACTTGGCTCATCTAAAACGAAATTCTCAATTCTTTGTGGTTTTGGAGGTGCAAGTAATGCTTCTTTTTCTTTTCTTGCTTGTTTCTCTTCACAATGTTGTTGATACATTTTCTTCCATACTGCCTCGACTCTTTCTTCAATTTCAGCGAATTTTGGTCTTAAATTAGGATCTTCAGCCCAACAATCACTTATTAATTTAGCCATTTCAGGTGGGAAAGAATCTGGAATATTTAATCTGTTTCCTTTAGTAACAAAATCAGAAACATCCCATGAATGTGCAAAGTTTTCATCAGAATAAGGTACTTTTCTAGACAAGACTTCATAACATACAATAGCATAAGAAAAAACATCAACAGCTTGACCGTATCCTTGATTTAATAATAATTCTGGTGCCATATATAATGGTGTTCCAATACCTTGTGTCATTGAGGCAACAACATTAGATGAAGAAACATCTCGACTTGTTCCAAAGTCAGATAGTTTTGCATTAATCTTTTCTTTTTTTACCATAGAAACTACTAAAACATTTTCTGGTTTTAAATCTCTATGAATAATCATTGCAGCATGTAAGAATGTCATTCCTTTAGCAACATCTGTTAACATCTTTAAACCAAGAAGTTGAGTAAACTTTTCATTTTCATAAACATTCTTTAAACTACCAAATTTAGCATATTCTGTAACAATAGAATAATAACCAGGTGTATCTACTGCTCCAATAAAATTAATAATATATGGACATCTCATTTTATCCATCATTTGAACTTCTTTTCTAAAGGCTTCAACAACATCTTCAGGCCATGAAAAATTCTTTGTTTGTTTAATAGCAACATCAACTCCTCTGTATTTACCAAGAAAGACAATACCAAATGAACCTTCTCCAATGACTTTAGTTTTTTCAAATTCTTCATAATCCAATTTAATACTTTTTGCTGATTCTATTCCTATTTTAATTGCTGCATGATCTTCTTCAATAGATTCTTCATCACCTTTACTTGCAAGAACATCAACAATTTCATTCACAAAACAAGTACATAAAAATTTAAATTTGACTTGAATAGTTTCACCATATCCTGGTTGAAGTTTTCCTACCTTTGGAGAGAATGAAATTTCGAAATGATGTGTTTGAATGTCTTGTGGATTAAAATTAAATCGATATGTTTTCTTTGTATTATTTGCAATATAAATTTCTTCTGTTAATTCTTCATCTACAGGAACCGGTTCAGTTCCAGACCTTCCAAATGTTAAAGTAGAACAAGATAAAGATAATGGGAAATTATCTATTGGAGTAAATTCATAAGCAAAATTTCCAATTCTGAACTTAGTTTTTGGAGAACGTTTTTTATTCTTCTTATAAACAAGAAAGATTAGAATCAATGCAACAATAATACCAAGAAATATTAAAATAGATAATATAGATAATATTATAACTAATGTTTTACTGGCTTTTATTTTATTATTTGGTTGACATTTTCCATCAGCAAAAGTTAAATTAGAATGACATTGACAAATAGAATTTACACAATACTCTCTATCATAATTACGAATTGAAAATTGTAATTCTGGGTAATCATAATTACTTGGAACTGTAGTAACTCCTCCTAACCATGCTGAATTACCTGATGTACTTGTAACATATCCAAAATAAGTATATGAACTACTTCCATTAATACGAAGAATAGTTACAAATCTAGGATGATACCCAAAATCAAGTATATTATCAAAAAATACATATCCTCCTCCACAATATGGATTATCACTTGTTCCATATCCTGGTGTTCCTACTACAATAATTTGTCCATATGAAATAATATTTTCAAATGGTCTATTTTTCATTGGTTTAAGATATTCTGTAACACCTTCTGCATAAAATGGAATTCCTGAAAGAACTTCTTCTTGCTCATAGTTAGTATGTGAATCAAATACACTCACTCTACGTTGATCAGAAACAACAACATATACAATATCATTTCTAGTAACTCTAACTGGATCATACACAAAGGTTTCTGATGAACTTACATTAGCAACTTTAATTGTTTTATACAAAGTATAATTACCAAGTGTAGTCTTAGAATTAGCATTATTTGAAAATTTAATTAAAGTAACTTTAGTTTGATTCTTAATTGCAACAATACTATTACCAGTAGAAATATATTCTCCACAATCAAAGTCATTATTTATTATTTTAGTTAATGTTTCTGGAGAAAGAATAATTAATTTACCATTAGTACAAGCTAATATATAATCATTTTGAATCTTATCTGAATATTCAAAGTGATGATAAGCAAGTGGTGAAAGTTCATCAAAAGTACCACTAAGAGTAGAGTTGATAGTAACTGATGGTGGTTGAGAATTAAGATCATATGAAACCATTACACGGTCATGTAAAAACCAAACTCGCTCTCTCATATCAATAATTTGTGGTCTTTTTGGTTCTCCATTTATATCAACAGTACCAGTTCTATTTTGAACAACTGAAAGAGTAGAATCCCAATACAACTTTGTTGGATTACTTCTATTATAATAGATTGGCATATTATGTCTTGCCTCAGAACGTTCATTATATCCAATAAATCCAACAAAATGTTCTAATGAACTGTTGGCCTTTGTAATATCAGGTTCTACCAAAGTTGCAAAGGATAATGAAATAAGTGAAAAAAGAAGCAACATGATATTTACAGTTCAATTTTCAAGTTCTTTCTTAAAAAACCAATTAATTTAAAAATGTAATAAATACTAAAAATTATCATTTCTATTTAATATAAAAAAAAAGAATTTAAAGAAAAAAAAAAGGTCAATTATTAGATATATC